TATTAGACAAACTTACTTTCTATCTCACATATAAGTAAAAAAAAAATGACAAAAATATCTAATAATGCACATAAATTGATTTAGAATTTATAATATTTATATGTATTAATTCTATTTCATAGAATTTAAATATACATAAGAAATAAACTTGTTTTCCGCACGTGGTCGTATAGATGTATAGTGGCGGTGTGTTTGGACAACCGGCTCCAGCTGTTTTATTTATTTATTTATGTATGTCAAACTAGCCGTTACCAATTCGAAACATCCGCTCCGCTCCCTTCTCATCTCTCTCTGTTTCCACTTCCCCTCCTCTTCTCTTCTCTCTCAGTTTCCACTTCCCGTCCTTCTCTTTCGCTTCTCTCCCTGATCTTTGTCTCTTTAGCTAATTCAAGTTCTTGATTTCTTTTCTGTGCTTGCGTAATTTGTAAAAATAGTGTAGAGTGTAAAGATGTTCACGGAGGGTTTAGATGAAAATGCAATCAACTGGATCAAGAAGGGGATGGAAACGGATCAAGAACCCTGCATCAGATCTCCCTTTAAAAAGAATCTACCTCTTGATACATTTCCGAAATCTCCTCTTTCCTACAATACTCCCACTGCTTTCATGTCTCCTCATGGGATGCCACCATTGAGATTCCACTCTGCCTTGTTAACTCCTCACAGCCTTGCAGCTTCTTGCCTCGATGACGAAGAACAAGAGAGTGTCAATTCGGTTTCTGATGATGCTGGTGGGAGTTTCTCTGTGGATGAAGAAGAGGAGGAGGAGGTTTTGGGACCTAGACAGGCTTATGATGAAGAGGAGGTTCTTGGTAACAAGTATAGCTCAAAGTTAAATAGAGGGTTCTTGAAGGAAAAGAATTTGAGGATTGAGATCCCTGGAAGTAACAGAAGATTAACAGATGGCGAGTTGGGGATGAGGAAATTTGCCATCAAGAATTCATTCCCAGGTGGTAGCGCTCGGCTTGGAGAAGGAGTTCAATTACCCAGTGCCCAGGTAAGAATTTTGGTATCTTTCTACACTTTATAAGGTAACAGATACATGGTTTTATTTTGTGGATGTTAAAATTTGACTCATGAACTACTGCTGTTGGTGATCAATAGTGTAAAGTAACAGAGTTTCCATATATATAATACGTTTATTATCATTTGGTGTCCAATTTATTATTTAGTCTGTAACACGTTCCTTCCCTGGCAAAGAAGATCTTGAACACCCTGACCTTATAGTATGAATAGTAAAGATGGACATTTTCCCTTATCTTAACATTGTTATCTAATCAATTCTTGAAGAAAGATTTGTGCTAAAAGTGTTGGTTTCTATGACAAGTTGACATTGGTGGTAATTTTATTGGGATCTTGAATTCTTGGCTTACTTAAAAGTAGAAGTCATTTCCTGATCTCATAAGATCAAGGAATTTATTATAGTCTGAATATAATAGAAAATATTTAGATTTGGGATCTAAAAGTGTTGATGTCCAATTTATTATTTAGTCTGTAACACATTCCTTCCCTGACAAATAAGATCTTGAACACCCTGATCTTATAGTATGAATTGTAAAGATGGGCATTTCCCTTATTTTAATCTTGTTATCCAATCAATCCTTGAAAAGGATTGTGCTAAAAGTGTTGGTTTTTATGACAAGTTGACATTGGTGGTAATTTTATAGGGATCTTGAATTCTTGGCTTACCTAAAAGTGGAAGATCTTGGTGTCGAATTGAAATTGATGTTCCTTATAGAACTATATCAATCTTTTAAAAGCTTTATTTTTAAGATAATTCATTGTGCTGGAAATTGGTGAATTGTACAGGTTAATCCTGTTGACTCTAAAAGCATTCATGCAGAGGTAGAACATATGGGTACACCAAGCGCACCACCTATAATTGAGACTGAAAGAGAAGTGAAGAGCTTTGCAGAAGTTGAGCAACATGAAGTAGGAATTCCAAGGAGAGGGAATCAGATTTTGATGGTAG